AAGGCCCATGCAGAAAAAAAACGACGAATTACATAATATTTACAGTTCCAGCTGCAAAGACCGCATCTAATAAATAAATAATATCTAGCTCATCAAGGATTCCTTCTTCCTTTTTATTAAGAAAATTTCTAATAATGCAAGGCTTCTTCTCTTTATCATCTTCAACTTCTTTGATCATTTTGCTGTAAAAAGCTTCAACTTTTGTTCTACTTGCTATTAATTTCTTAATAAAACTAGTGTTTGGAAACAATTTCACTATGGGAAAAAATTCTGATAATCTATTTGTAATGCTACCAAGAACCACATGTTCTCCCATTACTGCTTCAAATTCAGTATAATATGGATCATTAACAGTTTCTGTGCGCTTGTTTAAACATAAACTGGTTATAATGTTTAAACTTGCGAGCTGAAAACATTGTTTAGGATAAAAACCATCTTTTGCATTGGTTGAAGTTTTACAAATATTTTGCATAAGTAAACAAAATTCATTAGTGAGTAAATCAGAATTTTCTTTTACACTGCGCTGACCCACAGCTCCATGCACTATTTTTAAATAAAAATTTATGATAAATATTAAAATAATAATAGCAGTAATAATAAAATAAAACACAATGTGTACAATTACTTACAAATAGGTGTAAGCATCCTAAACCTTTCATTATATGGGCAACCAAAATAACCTTTGCTTCTAGTATATATATCATGAAGATAATAACTTGACATACGGGTTGAATACTTTCCACCACCTATTCTTAAAAATTAATTCAATTACCAACTAAGTTTTTAGCATGTAACGAATTAGTGTGAGAACTTACGCTTTTGTAAAAGGTCACCAACAACTTTATCGCTAGTTAATATGATCCAATATTGTTGGCCCATGTTTACACCATAAATACCACCCAAACTTTTCGCCCATTCTGCAAATCTGTTTAAATAAAAAATCATTCAATAATCCTTATATAAATTAATATATGTTTTGCTTCTCTTACTTTTTATGCGGTTCGCGTCCAAATTTGAAAAAATGGCCTACAAAAAATATTTTTCTTATGAGTGTTTTTTTTTTCATTCCAAAGTCACGTAATCGGTCTAAACATTGTTTTCTTTTGCCAATTTTTCATTTATTACAAACATTCCCAAGTGTATCTTTTGTATTATTTCTTGCAAACATAAAAATGAGCTTGTCATAAATTTTTATATTGAATGTAAAAACAAAATTTTCCAGAAATTGCGATGGAGCTAAAGATGTACGCATGATGCAAACGATGTTGCATGCTACATTATGCGATGCAAGTTACTAAAAATTTAAAAATGCACATAGAAGTTATTATAATTTTGATCCATCCGCATCCGCTATATAAATTTAATGTCTCATTATGTTTTCAAACCTGGTATCTCTCAAAATCTGTTCGTCGTGGATATCGGTTTGAGTACCATACAGAATTGTATAATGCATCATGCAACATAAGTGTACATTATTGAAAAAATAACAGTCAATTTTTTTTTTGTCGGAATTAATGTCACTCCATGTGCTGCGTAGCAGCACATGAGTGAAATTAACTCCGATATAAAAAAAATTGACTGTTATTTGTCGTACGTATGTTCAATAATAATGTTATCGGATAGTTAATATGACCATGTGAAGTTTTTTCTGTGATATTTTGCAATACTGATTACGTAATTTCATGTAAAAAATATCATGGCAAAAAAATTCACATGATCATATGAAATGAAAACTTGCATTCGCACTTCTCTAGATGGAACAATGGAGAATATCTATTCTATTTTATACTAACCAAAATAAAATTGGCTGCCCGGTGGAGAAGGAAGTTTTTTTAGGCCGCTTGGTGTATTTGATTTGAAGAAATAATACAACACAAGACACGCTAGCAAAAGATAAAGTGGTAACATTGTTTTTCTTAGTCTTAAAAAAAAAAAATAATAATTAAAATTAGCTTTTTTTTATGCCTTAAAAAAAAAAAGAAAGAAATTGACTTAAAAAAAACTAAAAGAAAACTATAATTTATGTTTAAAAATTTTAAGGGAATTTATAGCCTCAAAATAATATTCGAAAATACGTATCGCATTTGGGTCATTTGCAAGTGCAAACAGTGATTTTCCTAGCAAATGACACATTGAAGAAATGTTTATTAGGCATAGTACAAATTAGTAATATTTATTGGCTGTATACCTATTTTGTATAATAATAAGTCACATTATGCCTTTACTATTTGGATAATAAAATTATCAATATTTTGACGATTACAAAAATTGTCGCGGCTGAAGCTGAGATCAACTGATGCGGATTGACCTTTGGGGATCGTCTAAAGCCAGGTAGTTTTTAAGTTGATTAATAATAAATTTGTAATGTAAAAGTTACGTGTGCATATAAATTACCACCTGGCTTTAGACGATCCCCTATTTGGGTAATTATTTTTGAACACGGGCCAATTTATATATGACGTAATAACATTTACGACCAATTTTATATATGACGTAATAACATTTTGGTCCGGATTCACCCATTTTGATATGAGCGCCGCCAAGAGAAACCCGCAAATCTCATTTAATACGATTTGCGGATTTTCCCTTGGCGGAATCATATGAAATTTTGAAAATTTTTGGGGTGCATTTTTTGGGTTTCTGTTTAGGGTTAGGTTAGGATTTATGGCAGGCCTACCGAAAAATTAATTGCAATTAATTTTTATCATACGTCATACAATTAAAATCAATTAAAATTATTATGAAATTAATTGAAACCCAATTAATGACGAAATAATTGCAATTAATTGCAATTAAATTCAATTTTCTGCGTAAAGC